TGCCACTGAAGTAGACCCAGGCCAGAGCCATGTAGGGGCCGGTGCCCTCGAGCTGAGACAGTAGCCACTGTCCCTTCACTGACCTGCCCTGCAGTCTCACTGTGTGGCCTGGCCTGGCCTGGGAGGTGACCAAAGAAGGGCCTGGCCTTCATGCTTCCCAAGGGGCCCCGCAAGGGAAGGAGGCAGAAGGATATTGTTTCACCACCTCCCTGGCCAGGAGGGCAATACTTGAGCCACACATCTGGGGCCCAGCATGCCCCCCCCCAAAACATTTGCAGCCAGTAAATCTGTCCCATGTCAAACCAGGTTTCCTCTTAGGCCCTCACAATCTAGTCTTGCTTGCTTTCTGAGACAGGGTTTTCCATGTAGTCGAGGCTGGCCTTGATCTTGTGATCCTCCTGCCTCTGCTTTCCACATTCTGGGGTCACGGCCATGTAATTCCACGCCTGGCTCCTACCCAGGGTCTGGCCTGCCCTGGGTGGGCTGTACTAAGACAAGAGAGGGGATTTGGCCCCGAGCTCCAGAAGGCATGTGTTGTTTGTCCATGTGCAGATGGACCCCCTCTTGGTTCTCCCGGGAGGGTCTCAGTCCCAGAGTTTAGCAGGTTTTCTGCTTCCCATGCAGTGGTCAAGTGGCTGAGGTGTGACCCGTCAGCACATCACATTACCTTGGGACCCCATGATGGGATCAAGGCTGGATATGTTGGCCCAGGGAGGCTCAGTTTCAGAACCTGAGTGGAGCTTAAATAAGAGATGGTCTTTCTGCCTGACTCAAAACTTTGGAGATGTTTGCTTGGAACGCCAAGGGGGACTAGGGGAGCAAAGCAGAGATCGGCACATCCTGTAACACTGAGAACCTGGATCAAGCTCTATCTGAAGCTGGGAATACCTAGACTATCCAGTTTTAAGAACCAAGTTCTCTTCACCCAAGTCAGTTTGAGTTAAGCTTTCTGGCACTTAGCGAAAAGACCTGGCTAATGATAGGAAGAAAAGAAAGAGAAAATAGAGGACAAGGAGGTGGAGCGTGATTGGGTTTGAGTTGAGAGAGAAGTATCGGTGAATGAGCTTGGTTTGGCAGGGGTTAAGTAACATTTTATGAATGGTGGGGTCGGATAGTGCATATGAGGCTGTTTGCATTATTGCAACATATTCTCCTGGCACCGTCAGTATAGTCTACTTGGGACAAAAATGTGCTGTGCAGCAGGCAGCATTCCTGACTCAGATGACGTGGTGTGAGACGGAGCCCAGCTGTGAAAGCAGGACATGGACTGAGGTGGCCTCCATGGGACAGGCAACCTGCGTGGGGGAGCTGTGTCTCGGGTGGCGGGGGCGGGGCCAGGCAGCTCCGCGGCCTTCTCTACCTTGAGGGGGCCTGAAGCCCCTTCGACACACAGGTACCTCTCTGTGGCCTGGGACGCTGCCGCCCCGAAGGTGGCAGTGGCTTCTATGTGGCCCCTCTGCAGACAGCACATCGGTGTCCTAACTAACATGCTTGTTGGTGACCATCCAGAGGCAGCAGACTTGTCTGCGCCATTTCTGTGACCCAGGCATCTGGCACAGGGCTTGGTCCATAAAAAGTATGCAAAAAACCCGACTGAAGGAACAAAGCAGTGTTTCTAACTGCTTCTCCATTGCAGGTTGTGGGCTGAGGTGCTACAGGAAGGCTCCCTTCCATCCGCAATGCTGGGCGCATCATAACCGTTTAAAAGAGCACAGAGTCAAGGTCAGAAACAGGAAGTGGAACAGAGGTGGCTGAAATCCCCACAGAGACCTAGGATCTGGAATTCAGGGACCCCTGGCTCTGCAGGGGGCTCCTGGGGATCACAGCTGTGCTAAAGATGAGCTCACAATCAAAGACTACAAAGCACACCTAGGACTCACCATGACAACAGAGACAGCAGGCGTAAAATATGGCAAGAAACTCAGGAATTACAGCAAGTCCAGTGAGACGGCAGCATAACTAAGTGCCCCTCTGGATGTGCAGGGGACAGAAAGATGCTCAGGTTCCTTGTGTAAAAGTTCAGTGTTTGCTGGAACGTAGCCACCTCCCGACCCAGTGGCAGTGCTCTGTAACGAGTGGCTGTTCTGTGTCACCCAGGGAATAATGACAAGAGAGGAAATGTCCCATTCCTTTTTTCCCTAAACATTTTTGATCCTTGGTTGGTTGAATCCATGGATGTGGAAGCCATGGATCTGGAGGATGCGGTATATTTTTAAAAGTTAAAGAAATAACGGATTGGATAGCACCTGTAAAACAAGGGCTGAGCAGGATGAAAGAGAACAAAATAGAAGTTGTAGAAATGAAAAAAATCAAGTGGCTCCGAGATGTCATTGAGGGAAGTGGCAGGAGACTGAGCATTGGAGGAGTCTGCACCCTAGTTTCCGAGTGTTTGGAGTTCGTGACTTTATTAAAGCCACCGCCACCCTGGACAAAAGTGCCCACACCATGCCGGCCTTACAGTGCATATAATAACCAGCACCAGAGGAGATGCCGGGAAAGTGTGAGTCAGGTCACCACAAATGGCTTCCATCTGTCTCTCCCAGGGACAGCTCAGTCCTCCCACATCTGCAGCCCACCTGGAGGCCCCAGCAGGCTGTCACACGGGGGTGGGGTGGGGCTGTAGTACAGGGGGAAGGATGACCCGCTCAGCATGCAGCAGCATCTGAGCACCTGGGTCCCGAAATGCAGCTCCCCACCCCTCCCGAGCCCTGCTGAAGTTGTGGACTGGGAGAATCCCTGGCCAGACCCACCGCAGGGTCACTGTGAGTTCTGCCCTAGTGACTTCCTCACTGTCCCCTCCTAGCAAGCAGCACCCTGTCCAGCCTAGGTCGTCTCCTCTGTGACATCCAGGTCGTGGCTCTTCTTTAGGCATCCCGCCGGGTACACAGCTGGTGCTCAAAATCTCCCATGGCTATTCTGTCTCCCCCTTTCCTTTCTTCAGAGAACAGCTTTGGGCAAGTCAGCCCATAAGCTACAGGAAGATGGGCAGGGAAGCCAGGGCCAGGCCCGTGTGCATCCTTGCTGAGTGGCTTTCACATGGTGTCACTCATGCCTGGACTTCAGTTTCCTTGTGTACTAGGCAGCGCCCCTGGAGCCTCAGTAATAGCCGTGTCCTCCTCTTCCTGAAAATGAAACTCTGATTTCATTTGGGGCTGGCCACTGGGACGAGGCTCTCTTGAATGTGGGGGAGCCATGGCACACAGCTCTGGCCAGTGACACAGAGATGTAAGTTCTGTCGGAGGCTATAAAGGCAAAGCCTCCATTGGAGAAAATCTTCCCCATGTCCAGTTGTCCATCTTCCTTGTACCTGGACAGCATATAACAAGGCCTGGAGGTGCTGCAGCCACCTTGTAACCATGAATCAACAACAACAACAAAATCCACTTTTTCTACTGTGAAGGGCTACCCCAGTGTTTATCGTTGCTCTTACATTCATGCAGTGAAGGGCTAATTGTGACTTTAAGGCAAAAGGAAGAAGAGATCCTTTATTTCTCCTTTTGGGAAAAATTCCAAGGCTGGACACGGCCTCAAGCCAACCAGCCCTGCTCTTTTGCAGATCAGCTATCCAAACAGGAAGTGATTATCCAAACATTTGGAGCGGCAGGAGGCTGGCTGGAGTCAGCCTCTGTGTAGGTCCCCCCCATCCCCCACCAGCCCGAGCTCCTCTGAAGTGGGGGTGCTCCTCGGGGACACAGGTTCAAAGCCACCCCTACTCACTGCCCCACCTCTAGCCGGGCCAGACCACCTTCCACTCGGACTAGGGGGTGACCGCTGCCCTCACCGGGCTCCTCCTAGCTGTCTCCTGCTCTTTCCTTCCCCCTGCCTCAGTCACAGCTAGAGCCAGGCAATTCTTTACTGAAATGAAAGTCGCTGCCATCACATTTTGCTTAAAACTTTCCCAATGTTTCTTGTTTTTAAGAAAAGAGTGAAGTCCTGAGGCCACTTTCTAGACTCCATGGCCTGGCCTCTTCTGCCCTCTCCAGCTTGATTCCGCCAGCCTTTTTGTTTGGGGATGTGCCCATGCTGTTCCCATTTTCTAGGATGCGCTTTGTTTTCCTCCTTCTGCTCATCCGGCAGGTGATGCGCCATGCTCGGCTCTCAGCTCTACCCCTTCTTCCCCAGCAGGCTGAGCCCGCAGCAGGCCCACTGAGCTCCCCACAGCCCCAGCACTCATCCAGCCTCCGCCCCTCATCTGTCCCGGTGACCGTCTCCCCTGGGCAGTTACAACCTGGCTGCTGGGCATGGTCGCCGCCCAGAGAGGGCGCTGGGGAAGAGCAGGCTGCCTGTGACTGGCAGGGAGCTCTGCCTTCTGAGAGGCAGGAGGTACCACGGGCCAGGCAGGGCCTCGAGGACCCTTGTTCCAGACAGGTTCCCACAGGGGTGGTGACACCCGACGTCACACACGGGTCAGCAGCCCTGCCAGGACTTGAACCTCTGCCCCAAGTCCTCCTTCCTGCTCTGGGTCATTAGAAACCTGTTTCCTCATCGGAAGAGTGGGGGCCTGGTGGTACCTACCTCACAGGACTGTCCTGAGGGCTGTAGAACAGCGCACAGAGCTCGGACACTTTCCTGCACTCAGGGTCACGTGGGAGCACACGCGTGTAACAGGACTTCATGGGCGAAAGAGGGTTGAGTGGATGGATGAGCAGATGGAGAACAAAAAGTGGAGTCTCATGATTTAAGAAATGGAAGAACCGGCCGGGCGTGATATGCCCGTAATCCCAACACTTGGAAGGCTGAGGCAGGAGGATCACTGTGAATTTGAGGTCTGGGTTATATAGTGAGTTCAAGATAAAGCGAGGGGCCAGGGATTTAGCTCAGTGGTTCCACCGCCTGCCTCGGAAGCACAAGGTCCCGAGTATGATCCCCGGTTCAAAAAGAAGGTATAGCGAGACCCTGTTTCAAAAGAAAAGATCGGACGAAGAAAGCGAGGAACACGCGGGCCGGGGGCTGCACCCCCAAGACGTGGGACACGCGAGTCCCCGCGGCGACCCGCTCACCTGTAGGTCCGCAGCTCCTCCTCCAGCCTCCTCCCCCAGCGCTGCAGGTCCGGCACCTGCCGCGCCAGGGCCTCGAGCTCA